TGTCAAGCGACAGAAGAAAGCGGCTTTTCTCTTTCGCTGCCGAAGTCTGTTTTAGTTTATGCCTATAGTTTAGGCTTGATTAGGGAAAAGGATTTAATGTCGTAGGTGTTTGGGATTTCTTCGATTCCAAGTGTTTGGTTTAGGATTTCATAGGAATCTACAATCTAGGAAGATTGGTTGCTGTGGCTTGCCTATATATGAACATATATATATATATATATATTATACATGTATGTATATATATATGCAAATTGCAGAAATGAAAATTTCAGAAAATAATAAACAAGAGTTCTTGACTCTGGGGATCAATGGCTTTCCAGTGAGCACCGAACCGTAGTCCGGAAGAGGTCTGAAAAGAAGGAGACTGGTGAAACAGGATGAGCACTAGACTTCAACCTTGAGTTGACCCGTAACTTTAATTTTAGAAAAATATAAACGTTAATTTAGTCAACACAGTTTGGTTTTAAGTTTCAATTCCATAAATTCTCCTCTGATTTGGGGGAGAAGAATTTTGGGCCACTGGAAGGGAATGAGCTGAAATGGTTATCCTCCTTCCCTTCCCATTCCATTAATGATAGACCTCCCAAAAGTTTATTTTAAAATGTATTTTCTACTTCATTTCACCCCCTCTTCCAGACTTACATACCCTTAGTTTGGCAATTTCCTCTGTGTTTTTCGAATTCTTTTATTTCTTTGCCAAGTTTTCTCTAATCTTATGCTTTCTGGATGGGTTGGTTTCGGAAGCCGTACTTATCATACATTAGGTTTCTTTTTGGTGCTTTTTGCTTTTTATTTGGTTAGAGGTTTCTCCATTTATTTGATTTTTTCTGTCCCCAGTGCAGTGAGAATTTGACCATGAAATTGGACAGTATTCCTTGGGAAATAAGTTAATGGTAACGTGATTATATATGCGCGCTTATCAGATCAGTTATGCCTTCTTCGTGGTTAAATTATGGTATTTCATATTAGAGGTTCTTTGCCGATTTCTTCCGATACTGCAATGATAATTTCACCTTAAAATTAGATATCTACTTCCTGGGGAATGAGTTAATGCTATGGGATTAATATTAGTAGTTTGCATTTTACTTTGGGTTTGCTTTGGTTGTTTTATGTCATTTAACAGATCAGAGGTTTCTCTGTTATTTGGTTCTCTCTCCTCCCCTCCCCCCTCCCTTCTACCCCCATCTGCAGTGAGAATTTTGGAACTTGAAAAAATTGGATTTGTGGTTCTTGGGGAATAGCTTAATTTTACTACAATTACATGTGTCTGTCCTCTCTCTCTCTCTCTCTCTCTCTCTGTCTATATATATAATGTACACATAGTTGTTTGAGACCATTTCCACGTATACAATAAAATTGCAGCTTAGTAGACCAAATGTGGGTTTAGTTGTTATGATATTTGTCCCTATGGTTCTATTCACATTCTCTCTCTCTTCCTCTCTCTCTCTCTCTCTTGGGGGTTTGCCAAGGTTATTTGATTTCCAATTCTAGAGAGGTAATAGTAGTTTCCATGACCATGAGTCTTTTGCTTTTTTCTACAAGAGTAGTTATTTGATAGATTTTCCATTCACTTGGATTGGCTAACATCTAGTGGCTAGATTCATTTTCTAGATTCATTTTTGGTATACTTATTGAGAATCAAGAATATCATATAAAGCTGTCTCTATAAAGGTGTTACAGTGTGGTGATCAACTTAATTGATAGAGATACACAATCATAATTGGTTTACTTTTCTTCTTTTTGTGAAGATTTGTTTGCTGTTGAATTTTTGAAATCCTTGTATCCATATCACTTTTAAATTTCATGGGTTCCCATGAACTCTGGGAACAAGCATTAATTAGACTTTGATGATTTTGACTAGCATATGCTCATTTGCCTACTGGACGTGCATCGTGAATACTACAAAAACACAGACAGTAGAAAAGAATATGGTGTCTTTCATGCTGGTTTTTGAATGTGTTTTTTATACAATTGAATAAGGACAGGTAAAATTTTGTCACTACTCCTTTCCTTAGAGATTATCTTCCTTGTTTAGAAAAACTTTCAAACTAGCAAATAAATCTTTTGTTGTCTTTGCTGGTAGTTTTATAACTGTTCTTTATACATTTGAGTAAGAGAGACGGATAATTTTATGACCATTTCCCTAGAAATTACCTTCCTCAGGGTTAGTTGTTTAGAAAAACTTTGGAGCTGGTGAATCTATTATTTATTTTCCAGGCTAATTTCTTCAATACTGTGGAAAAGGGAACTGAGTAAGGTAAATGCATAATATATGTCAATCTTACTTGATCTCATGACACAAATGCTTTCTTTATGATAGATGACAAGCGCTTGGAGAAATATGAGCTTTGCTATCATACATAGGGATATAGAGAGGGAATGGGAGAATCAGGGTGGATGTTGGTATTATTTTTAATAATCGGAGATTCTTGCTCACTCAGAAGATCTATACGTCTGCAAAAAAAATCAGGGGAGGATGAGGAGATCAAATTAAAATTCAAATATATTATAGCATTGGAGCACCTTGGAGCAAATGAGCAATGGAGCTTGTGGAGCACTGCTCACATGGAGGATTGCTCACTTGGTTTGCTTTGCATCTTGGTTTTACATGTCTTTGTTACCATCTAGAGTAGATGATAAGGATAAATGGATACTTGATGGAGCGAGATACACTTTTTTATAAGTACAAGGGGTTACTTTTATTTACTTCCTTTATTTTTTTTATGCAGGAAGACATTTGTTTTATCCTCTACCATAAAAAATGAGTGGTCGATTTTCCCGAACAATTTATGTTGGCAATCTGCCTTCAGATATAAAAGAATTGGAAGTTGAAGATCTGTTCTATAAGGTTTGGATGAGATTTTCATTGAGCTATTTATAGTTGACTTTGTTGTATATGATTTTCATTTACTTTGTTCCTATAAGGAAATGATTTTCCATTTATTTTGGGTTGCAAATAAGGTATCGAATATGAGGTGTAATTTCCGTGATTTGAATGATGAAAGTTGCTAACCATATACCATTGTTGTTTATGGTGACCAAGTTTAGTGATCATGATATTTTATCATTTTGGTGGCATTCATAATGTTTGTCTAATGCCTTTTATGAAAATTCTAGTGCCTGGTTGATGTGACTGTACAACCTTGGTATAGCTCTTTGGGTGGCATGTGTTCTACTGTTTGATATAGTTTTCTTTTTCTGTCAGTATGGTAGAATACTGGATATTGAATTGAAGATTCCACCTCGCCCTCCAAGCTATTGTTTTGTGGAGGTACATTTCATATCTCTTGTTGTAATTGACCATGCACAAACATAAATATATTTTGTTTGATTGTTTTATGTTTGTTTTTATTTTTAGTTTGAGAATGCTCGGGATGCTGAAGATGCAATTAGGGGTCGTGATGGCTATAACTTTGATGGCTGTCGTTTAAGGGTAAAAAACAAGGTTCATATTGTTTGTGTTAGTTATTTTTCTTTGTGATTATCTTAAATTTCTTTTCTTTATCATTAACACAGGTTGAACTTGCCCATGGTGGTAGAGGGCAATCTTCAAGTGATCGTCGTGGTGGGTATGGTGGGGGTGTTGCTCGCTTTGGCATATCACGTCATTCTGAATTTCGAGGTGTGTACAGTTGCAAGAGAGGATGCAAAACCAATTTCCTTCATTTTCTGAGTTGGATTTTGGTTTCTTTTGGATTCATGCCAATACTTCTAATTACAACATCTATTACTCTTG